TCCAACCAATATCAATTTCAGTAAAACATTTCCTGAGTATTTTGCTCTTGGCATACAAGTTATATATTAGAAGTATCCAGTCCATGGCAGTGGTGATTAAAAGATCTTCTCAACCTGTAGCATCTCATCAACACAAAAACATCCTTCCTTGACAAGGCAGCTATGAACAAAAGCAGTTTGATTATGGCAAGATGTCAGTAAACGGACACCAAGGGCAGCTTTGAACAATGCTCATTCTGGGTTCTGAGTGAGTTACCACCTCATGGTTATGCTGTGGTTTAAGCAGCACTGTCTCTATGCCACATCTATGTGAAGTAAGCAGAAGGGAGTGTGAGAAACCACACACTTGCATCATGCTGGCTCTCGCCATTTCTGATGGCCACGGACAGATTTACCAGGACACAATCATGCCTAAGCTCCAGTAGTGCACCTCTGCAAATTCCAAGCAGCATTTCCAGGAAACAGTAAGGGGAGTAAGCAATGAAATAATGGTAAAACAAAGGTTTATTCTTGGTGGTAAAAGACCAGCTTAATTCTCTGTGTTCCCACACAAGCAATCACACTATTAAAATGAATTAACCACTCTGAATAAGCATTAGGAAAATACATTTTATTTTCCAACAGTGCCCTGAGCCTGTTTCAATTTAAGTGGGGCACAAGCTCTTAGCATCTGGTCTGTGACTCTTGGAGCTCCTCTAAAGCTGTCTTGCAGCTAACTCTGCTCTCCTTTCTTCCCCTGGCATTCTGCTGAAATGCATTTGCTTGTCCTGTGACACAAATCTGAGGCAACTTGGATAAAAACGTGTAGCCAGTTCTCACAAATCCATGGAAACAAGCACAAAGGGCCAAGACACTGCTGAGGAAGCCCACTGGCAAGTGGGTAAAGGCAGGGGTTGTGGCTATGCTGAGGAGCTCAGCCAGTCAAGGCTGCAATACCCCACCTCAAGCAGTGTTTGCCTTCAGCGCAAGGTGCTGGGAATAAGAAGTGGCTGCAAACAGAACCAACAGCAGGCCACAAAGGGTCAAAAAGATAAGGGAATAGCAAACACCTGCAAGTTATGCGTTACCTGTGGCACAGTAACTTCAACTATTTGCAATAAATACAGCAGAATTCAGTCCAGCATCTCTCCAAAAAAGGAAGTTTCCCAGGTGCAGAATGCAGGCAGCTGGAGCACGCTCAAAGCCACCTGCAGTAGTCAAAGGCAGTCCTGCTCCTGGCAATGGGGCTGAGCAACAGCCTCCAGCACCACCCCAATGCTCTGGAACAGCTCAGAAGCTGTTTGAGGCCTGATGACACCCAGAACAGCTGCAGCTAACCCAAAACTTCTACTGGCTTCCTGGCTAATCAAGCTCCTCACAAGCAAGACCTGACCATCCCACAAGTACAAACTTGGCCAAGCAGCTGAGGCTTATTGTCACATAGAGGCTAAGAAGCACCTAGACTTCAAAAATGATGAGAGTTATGAAAATAACATCTTCAAAAGAGAAACGTGGGATAGTGTAAAAATCCACCTTACTCAGGGACACATAGTGTCAGGGTCTTTGCAGGTTAATTTGAACTTTCTTTCCCATATAGCACAAGACTTCCTGAAAATGGATAGAGCTGAATTCAAGCTGGAAACTGAGCATGATTCAACCAACGTCAGCACTGCTCTGTAAGGAACAACCAAACCCAGAAGGTGTGAGTACATTTGGGGCATCTCTCTCTCATAGATCTGGAAGCTGCTTTTCTGTTAATGACAAATACTTCCAAAACGTGGAGCAGAAAGCAGACATGTGCACTAGGAAAGAATGAGCTGAACCATCCTCTGCTTGTACTATCCACATGCAAACTCCTTCAACATTACACAACACAATACAAAGACAGATGAGAACTGGTATGTCCCTTGAAACTCTCGATTCATTCTGTACAACAGACACAGATTTCATTGTAACTGCTTCCTGCCTTTTGGCAAAATTAATAAACAAATGTATTCAACAGCTCTGCCACTCACTGGCCTGAAACACGGGTCTCACTTTTCCTGCCGCCAGTGCAACTACGTGAAGCTCCTTCCCTAACCTGGTCTCTATTCCCTGTCAGTAACAATGGTTCTGTATTTTTTTTCCCCTGTTGAATTCAGCTTTATTCAATTCCATCTCAAGCTTCTTGTTTGTTGTACCTTCTTGGTGGCTTCCTAATAGCCCCATGTCTCTGTTTTCAGAAATGACTTGTACAACATGATCTTAACCCTGTACTGAAAAGCGAGCACCGAGCTATATCTGTAATGTGCAGAGCCAAGTCCCCTGCAAAGAGAAACAACCCGAGCACAAGAATCAGTGATTTCAGGTGAAGGAACTGGACAAGAACAATTTTCAAGAGACAGCTTAACAAAACAAACCGTCCTCCATTTGGGCCCAAGTAGAACAAGACTGGCCTGTAAAAACATTTTCAAATGAAAAGTCATTTTCAAAAAGAATTCTTGACAAGATTCATATCAACCGTGGTTTTCCAGCTCAGTCAGACCCTGAGAACCACATTCTGTTCTCATTTACATCAGAGCAAAGCTCAAAGCTTGATGAAATATTTGATGTTCAACCTAATGTAAATGAGAGCAGAATTTGGTCCAAAATATCCTGTTTTCCCTACTGACTTTATTACAGGGTAAGTGTAAGGCAGGAGTTCAGGTTTCTTTTGAAGTTATTTTATGGCAAGGAGATAGAGTGGCACAGATCTAGTTCAACAAGTCTAATCTGTCCTAAATACTCACACAGTGCCTGATGAAAGACCACAGAAAAGTTATGCAGCCCTGCAACGCATAGTTACAGAAGCCACACAAATATTACTGAGCTTACAGCAATTTAAATTGGAAGTATACTGCTAGAAATCTAACCCGGAGTACTTTATATGTCAGCAACTGAGAGATTCTCAATATACCAGTTGAATGAGTTATAAACATGAAAACTTGAAACCATTACTGAAAACTTGCCTAGGAGGAAACTGGAAAACAACAGCACAATTAGATACAAAGAACAGCTAAATGCAGAATTGAGAAAAAGTGAAATCCCCTTCTTGCATACTCGCTTCACCTGCAACATCCAACAACAGCATAATTAGATACAAAGAACAGCTAAATGCAGAATTAAGAAAAGTGAAATCCCCTTCTTGCAAACTCACTTCACCTGCAACATCCAACAGTTCTGCTATAGCAAACAACTTGATCAAGCACAAACAGGAATGGAATAAGTAAATAATGGCAGATAAACTGAATGTTTTACATAGGAACTTTTGAATGTCAGCAGGAGAAAAGAGAGATGACAGAGAAAAACTTCACTAAAGACATCAGGAAGGCAGGAAAGTAAATGGGACTGTATACATCCTTCCCTGTGATATGTGAAGGGCCTATTTAATGAGGCTTACAGACCATCTCAAGCAGTGGTGTTTTGCCCAGTTTATCAGTAATCCCTCACACCATCCTCCCTAATGAGTCATATTTCTTCTATAGTATATTGCCAGAAGAATTTAAGACTGGAATAACAGCATTGTACCTTGCATATTTACAGCACTTTCCCCATTTAAAGCACTTCTCTCATATTACCCAGTTGTTCTTCTTAACAACCTCATCTGCATTTGCTTCCGTGATTCCCTCATTTCAGAAAGGTGCAAAGAATAAGATACTGGCAGCTTGCCCAAGGCTACAGATGAATAAACTAAAGAACCAAACTACAAGTTCCAGTTCTCTGCTGCACTACAGGACTGAAGACCTTTCCCCAGCTGGAAGCAGAATGTCTTATTTCCATGTTCTGACCATCCCTCCCACTGGTATAGCCCAGAAGCAAAACTTTGTACATGGTCACACAACAAACACTTCCAGCTCAACTTCTACTTCACAGCTGGGGAAGCCTCCCCAGCAGCTGTGCCATTCCCATTTACCTCTCTCCTTCAGTAGCTCTGCACACACAACACAGCTAGGACAGCTCTAGTCTTGCAAAGCTGAGGTTTCTACAACAGGCCTGCACTGGAGATTACTTCAGACCTTTTGTTTTGGCTCTGTATAATGATGAGCACCTCAGAAACAAAGCTAATTGTCTACAACATGCAATTATTTACAGGGAATGTAAATCAGAGATTGGTATCTCCCAACCAGAAATAATTCCCCAAACAAAAAAAAAGCAAAAAAAATAACAACTTGGCTTGTTGATCATCTGCATTAACCCACTTAAAGGAACAGCGGCATTAAGGAAAAACATGCTACATGTTTATACACAGTCCAGTCAGGACTCATCAAGTCTTAACAATTTTTGAGCTGGAAAGTCTAGATCCATTTTTTTCTTTGATAATATATTCACACATATAACCAATATCCAAAATAAACTATAACAGCAGCTTTCTAGGGCTTGATTCCCCCACTAGTGCTTCTGAACCTTCATACAATGTTCTCAAATCCCACCAACTACTGTATGCAAACGTGATACACTTGAACATATACACCTATGAATGACACGTTTCTGTCCCCCACTTGAGGGAACTGGAATACCTGTATTGATTTCAGCAGTCAGTGTTCCATCACAGAGACTTGATTTTGTAGTTTATTCACAAATAAAATTCCTACTGATAGTAAAACCAGGAGGTTTGGGTTTCAAGAGCTTCTGTAAACACCTCTGAAAATGGGAGACCTTATACACCATTCCTGGTTGTTTCAGAGATATAAGAATTGGAGTAAAACTCTCAAGACCTTCGTCAATTTTTCACTTCAGGAACACAGCTTGACTGACCAAAATGTAAAGGGAGCAATTCACAGTCTGGATTCATCTTGTTGGGATTATGGCTCTTACACCCAAACATGAACAAAATGATGGCACTGACACCACTGTCTACTTCTTTGCAAATCAAAGTGACTTAAGGAAAATCTACGGTATTGGAAAGTCTTTACTCTAGGAAATCTAGCTGAATGAGAAAACCATAGCCAATAGTAAGAGGACTATCAACACACACCAAATTCTAATAAAGCAGAATAAAGTACCTCCTTAAAGTTATCGAACGCCGATAAAATGATTTCATGTCCTCCTCTGACAAGGCAAACAGCTGCTAGAAGTTCTAAGACAAGGGCCTTTGTCCTGTGAAGAAACAAAACAGTAACTGTCAATGATCATCATGTGCTGAACCACCTTCTTTCTACCTGCTGGAAACAGATGTGGAGATATAGGGAGACATGATTTACATCCTGTGTATTTTTAAATCTCCAAAAACTAGTAAACCTGCAAGATGCATCATCCAGGGCATTTTGACTCTCCCAGGATCATGCAGCTTTGCCCCAGTTTAATGCTACTAAAAACATGCAAAACTTTAAATCACAAACTGCATTTGTGGAAATTCAAGCAAACCAAAGGCAGTTGCATAACTCTGGTAAAGGCAAACAACATCAGCCTTTGATAGCTTGTTCTCCCAGGGAGTTCGCCTGCACAAACCCAAAGAGAAGGCAGTTTTACACAAGCCAGGATCACCACACATCAGCCATTAGTCTTCACGGCAACACAGCCCATTTCACTAAGCCCAGTTTTTAATGAATGTGCTTATAATTCAAATCTGTATTTCTCCTGATACAAATCTGAATTATTTTCTACAATTTGTATTATTGATAGCCATTAAAAAAAAAAAAAGACATGGTTCACTGCAGTAAATATAGATGCCTTAGCATGTCTTTCCCCTCTTGAATGAGAAATCTGGGCAACTCATTGACTGCAGCACTATTAATGAGGGAAAACAACACAGGCATATTAATGAGGGAAGACAACAGAGTACTGAGAGAAAAGCATGCAACAGACTCAGTGTAACCCTAATATAAACCATCCCCAGTATTTTCTTACAGGGTTCACGTAAGGCAAAAGCACCAACTGGACTTTATGGCCAGATGAGCTTTGAGCAGGTAGTAAAATCATGCAGACACATGAAATTAGTCTCATGCTAAAGCATTTACTCAAACCAGATGTTACAGAAAAAGAAATACCTTTTGGCTCTCAAAGTGTCAAGGTTATCTTTGGAAACCAGATAAAATGTTCATTTTCCTAGGAAATTTTAAATGTATAGTTTTCAATTCTTACTCATCCTTTTTTTTTTCCTGCCACAAGAAGAAAACTCAAGCTCTTTCAGATAGCATCAAGGAGCTCTTACTACAGATCTTATCCCCTCCAACGGCAGGCTAGGAGCTGTGTGTGTGGAGAGAGGGGAGGGTGATATCTGTGGGCAGTGCACTCAGGGGATGCCCAGGTCTCTGGTGCTACCCAGAGCATTCACTCAGCAGCTGCCCACACATCTGGGGTGGAGACAGGGAGTGGACAGGTACAGCTGTGTCTGTGGCATCCATATGGGCACAACCAGAGAAGAGGGAGTCCCTACAGTCATCATTCACCTGGCCTGCTAAATCCTGCAGCACTCAGCTAGCAGCATGAATGGTCTGGGAATGGGATCACCTCTGCAGCATCTCTCAGAGCTGCTGCGTCCCTTTTTGCATACCCCAACCAACCCTAAGCAATCAAACCTCAGGTTTCTTCAAGAATTATGATGGGGCTAAAACAAAAAAGAAATCAGTTTGGAACAGCAATAACATTACGTTTTGTCTTCAGCCAGATTTGAAAGGAATTTTTCTTTTATAAACAGAAATTTATATAACCCACTTCTTCGAAAAATTAAAACTCCGGCTCTCTTGATCATGATTTCCAGGCACAGGACACCAAAATTGATAAAAACAATAAATTTCCTATACCCTTCCCATTTATCCCATGCCTAGGCTCCTAGGCTTGCTGACTTAGGGCTAAATGAAAGAAAGGAAGGAAATACCTGCTTCCATCAGGACAAAATTTCAAGCAGTGAAAGACAAGCAGACAACCAATGCAAAGGATATATAGATACACACACACATATATAGTGCTCTTTAGTTTTGTTTCATCTTCTAGTTTTACCTTTCCTTGCAAACATCAGTACGTCAGATTTGGTTTCATTAGACATGCAAGAGGTTCTTGGCTCCAGGCTTTGCTGGAAGTGGCTGCCAGGGTCACAGATGTGTGGGGGAAAAGAGGGGACATAGCTTCGCAGCCATCATTTCCCCTGCACAATTACAACATCACTGCTGTGGCTGAACAGCAACCCAATACAGAACGAAAAATTTCAGACCTAAGGAACTTTTAGACAAAATTCTGTAAAGATTTTCCTACTCTTCAGGAAAATCCCATGCTAAGCTGCTCATTATCAGCAAGATCTGCTTTGCACTGCAATATTGCTGGAATGCTTAAGCACCAAACTTTCACCTGATGATCTTAAGGTCCTTTCCAACCCTAACTATTCTGATTCTGTGATTCTATGAGTCATAGAACCATACAAAGGTTTAGACTGGAAGGGACCTTAAAGATCACCCAGTTCTAAACACCCTGCCACGGGCAGGGACACCTTTCACTAAACCAGGTCGCTCAAAGCCCTGTCCAACCTGGCCTTGAACACTTCCAGCAATGGGGCAGTGACAGCTTCTCTGGGCAGCCTGTGCCAGTGTCTCATCTTCTCTCTGCCATTTTAAAGCCATTCTTCCTGTCATCTCCCTACAAGCCCTTGTTACAAGTCCCTCTCCAGCCTTCTCACTGGCTCCTTTAGGCACTGGAAGCTGCTCTAAGGTCTCCCTGAAGCCTTCTCTTCTCCAGGCTGAATGCGCCCAGCTCTCTCAGACTGTGAAACTAGATGGCAACTGCTCATCTATTTGCACAATTACACAGATTTAAGCCAATTCAGAATGAATTCTGATTTTTGCTATGGGTTTATTCATAAACATACCCCTGCAAAACTTTAGGTACTCTTTATTTGCCTACTTCTTAAACTCTCTAAAAGCAAGTGCAGCGTACCTGGGATTCTTGTTGTTCAAACTTAGTGCAATTTCATTAACAGCATGTGGATGCGACATGACCATATTGAATCCATACTGAAAAGAGAAGGGTAAAATATTATTTCAGTTTTGAGACTGAAATTATTACTTTTAAAATCCAACACATTACATATCTCTGACCATATCTGAAGGCAGTCTATCACAACACTGTAAGCCAAACAAAATGTTGCAGAGTTTACTAAATCAACCAGAACATTTCCATATACCACCGTGCCTAACAACTGCTCTGCCACAGTGTCAAAAGTACTTGGTTTAGCCATGTCAGCCAACTAAAAGGGGTCCCAGAGCTGCTCCTACACCATTAACAACCCCTCTGCTGCTCCTTTCCTCCTCTCCAACTCCTTTTAAATTTTGACAGCAAACTATATAATTAACTCTCTAAAGAGGATTTTGCAATTCAGCGGCCAAAATCTCTTCTTTTCCAGGACACATGCTGCCATACAGCAACTGCATCATGCAGTTTTTGCACAAGTACTGCTGGCTCTGCTCTTAAAAAATGAAAAAAGAATTCCTTTGGAAAACACAGTATTGGTTATTAGCACAAGACCATTGTTGGCATCCTTCCCATCAGAGGTAAGATACCCTGTAAATCCCAAGGAGCTGGTATCCCCAAGGGCAGAGTTAACATACACAGCAGTATTACAAATACCTTGTATGACTGTACAATTTGTAATAAGGGTGTTCACCACAGGCTTTCTTTGAAGCACATATTTTTAGCTACTACTGTTTTAGCAAAAAATCCCAAGTCTCTGAAGCTACGTGGGCAGGCCATATGATCACAGCATCCCTCTAAAGAGAAAAAAAACCTCTTGAAAATAAGATTAGCTTTGGTCTGTTTTATTCTTTGACTTGCAGTTACTGCAATTACCTTGCCATAAAAATGTAACAAAAGTAAAAGCTTGCACCTTCAATCAGTGTATAGCTCTTCTGAAAAATTTATGCATTTCCTGTTAGTACTAAATGCTGAGACAAACTAACTTCAGTTGTGTAGCTGCATGTCTAATCAGTTAGTGCAAACTGCGCCCATCACTGCAAACAGGAATTGGCCCAGCATGCACATGCTCTTGTCTATATGTATCTTTACACTTGTACTAAATCATCTGCATGGGTACACAAGGACTGTGTTATATTGCTTCCCAGCCATACTGCCTGAGTAGGAATTTAAACCTTTGCATTAGTTTTTCTTCAACAATCAGCCACTAATCTTTTCCTCCCCCCTCCCAACAACAAAACAGTTATGTGATCCAAAAGAACAAAAAGGGAAATACCTGGTAATTCATTATGGCCCGTAAACACATGATGCAGACATGAACATCATCTTTTTTACTCACTAATCTGGAATTTTTTAGCGTTCTTCGGCTTGGCAAGGTGTTATACCTGCAAACAAAACCAGCTCTCATCAATCACAAGACTATTTTAAGGTGGTAAGGATAAAGGAATATGAAAATGCAGACATCTTTAAGTTCTGCAGAGCAGACAACCATCGGACAATTGCAAATAAAGCGCAAAAAAGGTCGTGTGCTGTTTACACACTGGCAGTGTAGGGAGCTCAGGATGCACAGCTCCACGACAGGCTGCTAGCCACCCAGCCCCAGGCCAGCACAGACCACGAGATGCCAGTCCCAGCCCTTCCGCCCAGAGCTGCCCATGCCACCAGCCACAGTGTGACTTGTCTGGAGCCAGGTACCTCCGTCTCTCACAGCATGCAACATGGAAAAAATTATCCACCCACAAGGAGAGGTATTCCGGATTTTTTTCCCATGCAGTTTACTTCGCATGAGCAATGGCACAGGCTTTTAATGGAACTGAACATTTGTAGGCATCAGCAAATGTATTAATTCCTGCTGCATTTCATTTAAGAATGGTGCCTCTCTTCTATTCTGCAGCTGAGCTTCCTGAAAGTCCTCCAAATTATTTGAGGAAAATACAGCCCTTAGGAACTTTCCTCAGAACAGAGGCATTAATTATTTTAATGGTAACTCCTAACTAGTAAATCAACCTTGAATTCAATTAAATAAGTATACAGAATAAACACAAAGGGAAATCTTTAAATCTGTTGTTTCTATAGCATAGTAAATGAAAACCACATTTCATCTCTTCTTCAGATACTGCTTATTTTCTTTAAGAAAAAACATGTTTCATGAGCTGAGCACAGGAAATTGGAGACAAGGAGACAGACTGCCATAGGAAATACGTGTCTGTTCTTATGTATTTGAAACTGAATAAGCAATGAGAAAATTATGATTATGGTCAAAACCTCTTTTGACAGGGATGCTCTAACTGCTGCAATTGGCTGATGGTGTTCCTGGTGCCGCCGGCAAGCCCCAGGACCAGCACAAGCCCCATCCAAGCTGCATGGATCTGCAGGGCCACCACAGCTATGCCAGGGACATGGAGGATGTCTGCAAAGCTGTGTAGGCTGCCCTAAGCAGCCCCAGCCAGCAGCATCATAGGTAATGCTGACAGCAAAGGCAAGGAGTGGTGTTTGGGCTTGGAAAAACACATTGATCCTGCTCCCCCCATTTACAGTGTAAAAACAGCCCAGAGAGAAGGTGCAGGCATGTTCTCAATTAGTCACATGGCTGCAGAATACAGTTTTCTCCCGATTTAGACCAATGCAGGTGAGAGGAGAGACCAAAAGGGCATTGGCTCGCCAGCTAACAAAACCTCTAGGCAGGCACAGTAAGCCTTTTGCATTTCCAGTTATCACACTTGGGCTGAAAACAGAGGAAGAAAGTATAAAATTTGCTGATAGAAAGACAAAAAAACAATGAGATGCATGTGCAGTGATGTGCAAATTCTGACATTTCTTACGCAAAAAGCAACTCCACTGGGGAAGGAAAGAGAAATTCATAGACAAAGCTTGACCGCTGAAATAAAATACAACCTCCAGTAAAAACAAGGCTTCTTCAGACAACTGCAGTATTGCCTCACGCTCACCAACGCCACCTTTGGAGCCTGAAGAACATACAAGGGAAGGCTTCACTTCTGTTTGATTTGGGAAAACAACTGCATTGGGGGAAGCTGATGGGTTAAAGCATCCTTAGCTCTCACCACAGCCCCTAACCAGGAGTTAAATGTATCAGTGCTGATACCCAGCAATGACTCAAAGTATAACTGCAAACACAGACCGAGGCAGGACAAGAAGTGAGGTGGAGAAAAAGAGAGCTTCCAGGTGCCTTCCAGACCCAGGCTCTTCTGAGAACTATCCCAACACTCCAAGAAAGCATGAGTGTCACAGAAGAAGTCAGTGGGGAATGATCTGTAATTATGTGGCATCACACATAATTATCAGGTGACAGGATCAAAAGCAAACCTGGTAATTTTTGTGCTCTGGAGAGCAGGAGTTCAGCACCACCACTGCAGAGCCCAGAGCCTGGCACAGGCTCCAGAAGCACACCAATTCACAGAGGAAAAAAGTTCCATCAAGAACTATTAAACACAAGATGCAAACCTTAGATCAGGATGCTTAAATCTCCAGAATGCTGGAAGCATACCTGCAGGAGTATGAACCAGGAGAAACATCTCTGGGTATCTGCCTTGCTAGTACTAAGCAAGTGCTCTAAGCATCTTCTGCACTAAGCATCTGCTCCTCAGCAATATGACAGAGGGGTGTTAGATACAGCTTTGTTGTTATCGCACTTCACTGTTTTCCTCTTTCCTCTCCATATTTTAAGTGCATCTGGGCAGCTACCCTGTTTATTGCTGATGCTGCTGTGCAGTTACTTGTCTAATCTGTGCTACTCATCTTGTTTAAAAGAGGTGTAACTTTTAAAATCCGTGATTAACATTATTATATTAATAACAGCAATTAATAATAACATATAACATTAATGATTAATAGTAATACATGAACAATAACAGACTTGTTTTATTCTGACTCACTAGCTCATTCTCTCACACAAAGAACATACTTGCAAATTTTCTAACTTTAAACACACAAACCAAACCAAATGAGGTAGCTCATAGCAGGGTCTGGGCACACAGTGTGCTGGGCAGTGATCACAGCTCAGCAGCACCCATGCCGTGTCTGCCTTCCTGGCTGCAGGAGTCCTCCCCACTCTGCAGCTCCAGCACAGGACAAAAGCAGAACACACAGCAAGCTCAGAAGCGCAGCGCCAAACCATCCTGCCCATGGACAGCCAGTGACTCTCAGGCTTCAGCAATTACTTCCCTTTGCTTCATTTTCCAAGAGTGCCAAGATGAAAGAAACCCCAAAATTCACAGCAGAATTCAGCCAAACTACTTTTTTTTTTTCCATAGATATGAATGCATAAATCAGCTCAGGGTGCTCCAGACGGATTTCAGGTTTGCAGGAAACATGACCTACTTTTGCCTGAGAACAGTGAGTGGTTAATGCATGGGAGCTGTGTTTCGGGAACCAGACCCGAGGAGGAATGCAGGATGGGCCTTGGAGGACCAGGACAGGACAAGGTTGTTCCCTGCACTGCAGGGCCATCGCAGCTGCCCCGAAGCCACCATGAGCACTTGGGATGGGTGCTGCACTGTACCTCACAGCTTGGCTCCAGGGCACTTTGTCCAGCTGCTCCTGGTGGGAATGGGACAGGTCAAGGAGCTCCAGCCAGGCTGTACTGCCTGTGTCCCCATGGATAGGCTGAGTGCCCACACACAGACCCTGTGCTTGGAGACTCATTTGTTCCCCAAATCTCCCTTATCAAGACAAAAGAGGAGTACTTCAACTTTTAACTGGGAACCCTATGCTGAGTCTGAACTGCGAAGCATGGAAGCACCGCCAGTGTTGTCTGGAGAATGTATAACTAGCATATTTCCATACGTTCATTCACTAAATATGAAAAACACTGCAGTCAGAAGATTTAAAAGTCATTTCTAGTCATACAGAGATCGTTCCTAAAATTATTTATCTCTCTTTTAAACTACTAAAGGCTGCATACATTATTTTCCTTCAAATTGTAAATAAACAGAATTAGATCGTTATCATGCCACTCAGGGCCTGGTGTATCAACTCCTTCAATTTCAGAATGCCTTTAACCATCTGACAAAGTTTTGTCAACTGTACAAAATGGGAGAAAGTCTTCTTAAACTAATAAAAAATGACCATAAAACCAGAATTTGGCATTTCCAGCTGCTTGGAGAGTGAGGAGAAACTGAATCATGGAGCAAGCATACTCTGCAATGCAGCAGGACCCTGAAGCATGCTGAGTTTGAGCTCCCTGGGCACTCAGCTTGATGACTCAGTTTGGGATCCAGCCACCCAGATGGAATCTTCTCAGGCTGGGAGATGGAGATACTCCCCTCCACACTGCTCACTACCTTTTTTAGGCACCTTATCAAAAGCCCTGCACTGCTGACTAATGCAGGCACCAAAACGAAGGGCTGAGGTGAAAACAGTATTCACTTCTTTTGAAGAGATGGAAAAGACTGATGAGGTCTGCAAACATCCTGTATAGCAGTACCTGCCTGCAGGAAAACTGCTATTTTGAAGCCTGGATATGTTCACTTGGAGGAGTCTTATGACCAGCCATATAGGCAGAGCCAGAGGTAGCTGTTGTGTTCTCTTCCCAAAACTAAGACAACCTTCACCTCTGGGACTCTGCTCCAGCCTCAAGCTGCACATCATGCTCTCTCTGCAGCAGTCCTCCTGCCCTCCCCACCATCCTGTACACTCCTAATTGGCAGTGTGCTACTCAACGATATCACCAGTGATATTCAGAGCCCGCAGCCTCCGGCTTGCAGAGATTCCACCTGTGTTAGTTTACGATTAGGCTGAGAAATGAGTATGGAATACACAATTGAGAGCTGCAGTGCAGAGAAGATATCTCTGGCACAGATGGGATTCTGCCCTAGATTTAGATTGCTTCCCTTCAACAGATGCAAATTTCTTCACAGAGACATGAATGCCAAGAATTAATAAGGATTTTTTTTTTTTTTTTTACAGAAACTCCTCTACAACGACTCTGCACACTGGAACTAAGAAGGCTCAAGATGCTTTGTCTGAATTAGCAGCAACTGCAACGACCCCTAATGTTATTTGTTTCCTTCATAAAGGCAAGACAGACCAGCAGCAGCTCTAACACCTCCCTTTATGCGACATGAGCCAAACCAAGGTGGATGATCTTCATTTGCTTTTATTTCATTTCTTGTTACTAAACATTAGGCTGATCCGAGCATCGGGATGAGTCGTCGGTTTTGATTTCCTGTCTGCTGCAGGTCAAAGATTATGTCACCAAGAGTATATTTATCCTGATAATTAAACTCAGATGGTTCCGCTTTTATTTCTTCTGCCCCTCCTTCGTAAGAACTATAAAACCTTACTTCTGAAAACAGCAGAAACAGAAAACCTGACCACGTGCAAGCTCCTGCAGTGTGACATGCTTTCCTCCTGCCATCCACCAGCAGTGGGTATGGGATGTCACACGTAGAGAGAGAGCTGCTCCACAACTTCATGCCTTTGATGCTGGAGGCCGAGGGGGAGTACGCAGGATTCAGCGTCTCCACAGCTCGGACACTGCACCTGGGTGGGAAAACCAACCACTGTTAAAATCACGGCTAAATCTGTGCTGAAACAGTATAGTTTAAGGTTCTTTTTCTCTCCCAGCTGTAACAGAAGTACATTTCTGTTCAAGAACAACTCATTTATCATTTTTATTCAATTTGTTAACAATTTAGTTAATGCAGTGCTTGTAAAGGCACTGCTGTGATGTCTCTGGAGACTAGGCTGGGCTTTTACCCACCAGCCTCCTACAGGAAGGTGAAAAGGACCATTCAGCCCAGCCAGCCTGAAGAAATTGATTTTGCTAAACTGCTCCTGCCTCCATGTCCCACTTACTTTGTTAACATTATCAGTGAGAACTGGTGAAAACACGCAGTGTGTCCCAGACTCAAACAGAACTTTATATAACCAAGACCTAAAAAACACAACATGCAAGGGCATCTTCTGGTACAAAACAGCTCACACTGACACTGAAGGCCCACAAATGAATAATCAAAACACCTACGCAACAAACTGGGATACTCAAAGTAAGTAAAAGCCCTTTCCACCATGGTAAGTGAGCACAAATCTCAATACAAACTCCTGCCATCTCCACCAATGACTACAGGAGAACTAACATACTTAAAATGAGGACATGTGCCCAGTACAACAGTGCAGACTTCTAATGCACTGCATTAATAATGAATATAAATTATAGATGGTTATTCCCATCATTTTTGTCTCATTATCTGCTAAAGACTATCATGCCCTCATTTGCCTATACCAGCTCCCTCTGAGTAGGAGCAACGAGAGCAAAGGACAGAGATCCAGGGTGGACCAGCAGCTCGCCCAACACTATGTGGGCAGGGACTGCTGATTTGCACCAGGGTTTAGTGGGGTTTGGATTGCCTTTCTGTAGTTTTGTTGTTGTTTGGAAGTGGTGGTGTTTGTATTATGAATGTACTTCTGACAGCAGAAAGGGACTTTGGATGGGGAAGGTCTTGGTGCTTCCTACTAATTTTGGATTCGCCTCATCTCGTAGAGGAAGTTACAAGCTGGGTCTGCTGGCCATGGGGACCCTGAACTTGCACCCTTCTGCAGGGAATGATGCCCAGAGAGGGAATGACCATGAGCCTGTATTCAGTGGCCCCAGAAGCTTTAAAACCAGTGAGGAACAATCAACTCCTTCATTTGTGCAAGGGAAGAGAGAGCAGATAGCTGTGCTGCCCAAAAATGCCTCCTTTCTGCCACTTCAAACAGGGCAGGAAACCTGGGTTAGTCCCACACATGTAAAGAGAATAAATGACTTCAAGCCTGCTGTTTTTATCTTCATCTAACGGAATCTGGGAAAACTATTAATCCTTAAATCTGAGGACATATCTGCTACTTAAAAAAGATGAGAAAAGAAATGGAAACAGCCAGGTTCAGTCCTCCCATGCTACATAGCCAGTGTGTGTCTACAGATGCCAATGCACACCCAGGTGGCACTTAGCTCTGCTGTGCCATGTTCATCCCATGTAACCTCCTGCAAGGGAACAAGCGTGTTTCTTCACTTCCATAAACACACACAGGTGGGAATTCTCCCCCAGTTTGACCAGAAAAGTCACCTACAAACGTCCCATAACAAAACCAAGCAGGCTACATGAAAACAGGTACACGCTGCATTGGAGTTACCCTCAGCTGCCAGGGACACGGCTGCCTGTCTAAGGTCTGTGAAAATCCTGGTCTTCAGACAGAGGAACCAGAAGAATTACAAGACCAACAACTGGCTGCTCGAAAATATACTCTGCTAAAGTAGCAAGTATCTGACACAAATTACGACGACAAAGCCAGCTGATCCCTGAACAGTGAATGTGCTAATGGCAAAGTCCAAATTAAATCTTTGCAGCATACAAAGTCAGTGTCAAATCTGAGTCCAATTGTTGAATGCTTTCAAAGCCCATTTATAGGTTAAGATACATTTGCCTAGATTGCCCTCATTATGGACTCCACAGATTCTGAAGAAAAAAGTAAGTTTCCCAGTTCCATCCATACAAAACATGAAGTATTTGCCTCAGAAGAAAGGGAATTTCTAATGGGTTGGGACATTACAAAGTCTGCATTAATATTTATCTGACAGGAGAGTATAACTCTCATATGAAAGTAATACTCCTCCTCCCCCAAAAAAGCAGCAATAAAACCCCCAAAGGTTCATCCCTGCTTTTATTCTTCTGCCCTCATTTTGGTGGTTGCTTCTCAAATCCCTGTCCCTCCTCCTAAAAAAAAAAACAAACCTCAGTTGCCAAGGAAACCCAGTGAGCAGGGAATTGGCAGGGTTTAACACTATTAAAAAAGACCTACTGGAAGCTAGTGAAAGTCACAATTAGAAATGGATAGCCTAAGCCACGCAAACGAAGAGAAAGCCTCCATGCCCACGTCACCGCTGGGGGAGTTCACACCACAGCAAGCTTGCCCATAACTGCTCACTACAATGGAGCCACACCGTTTGAAAGCGTGCATGGGGTATAACCTTGCCAGCACTTCCCAGTGTTGCTTTGTGCTTACCTCCTGTTTGTTTTGTATAATTAAATCTCAGGGTTCTGAGGACTACGGCAGGTTTACTACTATTGAACCCTGAGGACAGGCAGGAGAGTTGGTGCAATGACACTGCCATACAGACACCAAAAATGAAAAAACATTGTGTTAAAGCTGACAAGTTAAACAGTGTCTCCCCAAATCTTCTTGCTATTTTAATAAAAAGGAATCCAGGCCAAATCTGTTCTCATTTTTCATACTGGTAGGGCATTGAAGGGATGAGTCCAGCTCCTGAATTTTAAATTACCCTGTTAAGATTATCAGCCTACTCCTTCTTTATCCAAGAGGGAGGACCACTTCTTCTTTTCTCACTATTTGAATGGGTTTCAATGCAAAGATAGAAGAGGAGCTTCCACACAGAAGAACCTATGGCTTGAGTCTCCATGTGCCCACAAATGCTAATTCCATGTAAATGTTGGACAGTTTTTACCTGCTGTCCAGGTAAAAAGATGGCTCTGCAGACAGGAGGCAGCACTTTGCTGAAAAACACTGTATTAGGTTACATTTCTGTGTCTGTCTGGATATGAGTGAAGTCTCTATTTGTAATAAAAAAGAAGAAATAAAACGGACAATGACTAAGGGCTCTATGTCTCAGGTATGAAAGTAATAATATTATCTGCAATATGATAAAGGAAATTTTACTTTTTTCCAAAGTAAAACATATCTTATTTTCTTTTAGAAAATCCCACTCTACAGAAGCAAACTACACTTTGAAGTTATAATGTGATAACCGCACGTTTTGGAACTGAAAACTCCCCCTGATGCTCAGGTGGTTGTTTTACCAAGACGTACTATTACCAGATTATAAGGCATGGGGAGCAGTGCTGGCCACATGGGTCCCATGCCCTGCACAGCCCATGTTGCGGGTAACCTTGCACCTGGGACTTACGAGGTTTTCCAGCTCGAAGCCTCATCAGCAGAGCACAAAGTGAAGCTGCTCCAGAGGCAGTTGGTTGAAAAGCAGCTATGGCAGCATTTGAACTGAAGTTGCTCAGGGAGAGAAACCAATCTGATGGTATGTGAAAGGCGGATGAGAGCAGAGGAAGGAAGGATGTGAGAGAAAGAGAATTGGAGAAAAAGATTTGAAAGAGGAAGGGGAATGAAGTGTGCAAGAAAGGAGACAGTGACATGGAAAAAAAAGAAGGTAAGGAATCAAGGAGGATGTGAAAAAAGGAAAAAAGGACGGAAGGAAACGAAGAGAAAAAAATGTAAGAGACATTTAACATATACCTGACATGCATTTCTACTGCAACTAATCACAAGCACGCCTCCCAAAGAGAGCAGAATCAGATATTCTCCTGCAAGACTCTACCATTTCTCTGTCACAGTAATTAAAGACCAAAGAAAACCAAAATCACTAAGAACACCTTTGTAATATTAAAAAAAATAATAATCAACTGGTCAAATGATTTTGTTGCACTCATAGGCTGTATTTCTTTACCAGAACTGTCTCCTTCTCTCTACTGCCTGATGTCTGTGAACAACATCTTCCAGGTATCATATCCACGACCACTCAGGCTGTAGACAGAAGACACCCAACATCATCTAAAGAGCTAATGTTACCATTGACTGACAAAACAAAATTGAACCTCTTGTCCAAGATGCAGGAAAAAGGTCCTCTAACTGGCTCCATCTTTTTTGGACTCTTCTATGCTCACAGTACTGTGTAATAAAACTCCATAAAAGTCAAAAAGCATTCAGCACTCTGAGCTGCGCCCCTAGGTAACAGCACTGCCAGTTTAAAGGTAGTATTCAGTATGTTTTATAATGGTAAAGCATCAAAAGAATATAACAGAGTTGACTGTCATTCAGTCCTTTTCCACAAACCGGGTTAAAAAATCCCCAACAGTATTTGGAAAGAAAGACTTCACAGTAAAGCCCAGGGTGGTGCGAGAATTAACAGCAGGTTTGAAGAAAAGTCTTGTTCATAGCAGCATGGAAGGAATGTGCTGCTAGAAGAGACCTTTTTGGATGAGACACCAGATCAGGGCACCAGACTGGCCAAGACCATGGAAATCTTGAGATACATTTTGGAGAAGAGGAATTGCTTCCTCTGTGCAAGCCACATTGTACCTGATGGAAATGTAACATACATCCTTAGACCATTCTGCCCTTGGAAAGGGAGGCAGAGTTATTCTTGTCTCTTCCTCAACTGCCCTGTGCTACTAGCTTAGCATTTCTTTCCACCTCAAAACCGTCACTACAATGACATGTTTCCAACATACGTCAAGCCTATACTGTGAAAAGAGGGAAGATGAAAAATACTCTAATTGGAAAACCATACTAACTTTTCTCACTCTGGCTCTCGTTATTTGCAGATTACCCACTGCCTGATTAAAAGCCCTACCGTAAAGTCGAGTGTCTGCCAGAACGGGAAATGCTGTTGCCAACTGGTGAGGGTAAATTACTGCCTCTGTGCAGGTCCTCAATAGATCGGCTCCACGGTTTGGACTTGTCCATTGAGTTTTCCACATTGTTCTCCAAACTTTCAAAGTCAAACCTGAAAGGAAATAGAAATTCCATCTCCGGGTTAGACAGAAAAAATGCACATAGTATTTTCCTTCCTGTTCGACATCTGCATATTTTAGTAGAATCAGAAACAAATAATTGTTTAGCTTGGAAGAGACCTTCCAGATCATCAAGTCCATCTGTTAACCCACCAAGTCCACCACTAAACTATGTCCTTGCCACATCTACTGTCTCTTAAACATGGGTAGGTCCCAAAAGATATCAAAAAAGAAAGGAAGAAAGCAATGCAGGCTAACTTCCATTCGGCTGCAATTAAGTGTGAGCTTCAAATGCACAGTGCAACAAATTTGGACCTTGACAAAGGGAGCAGCTAACCACATGAGCATCCAATTTCAGAGGGATCAAACAGCTACGTATTATTCTACTTCAGTGTAAAATAAATACAACATCGACTGCTTTGCTGATGAACAGGCTCTGCCTTGAAGAGTGGGAATGCTTAAAGCTGTCTCCATTTTATTTCAATAAATCAATACACTGTGCAAGTACTAATTCATTTTCCTCCATCAATATGTGACCCAGCATTCACACAGCATTGTTGGCCCTCATGTATCTCCCAGCATATGTAATATATTATCATAATCATTACAGATTTTCTTTGATTTCTGACTCGTTGCCCATTGTACTGCTATTTCAAGCAAAAACTGCTTGTTCCCTTTACAGCTCTTGAGGTTATTACTCATGTTTACCACGTTAGAGAGAGGAAAAACACAGCAAGCTAACTTGCATACATTCATATAATTTTAGGAAGAAAGCCTTTATACAAATGGCTCTTTTTTGCTATGCACAGTTTTTTCCAGTGTTAGCAACATTTTAAAACATGTAATTTTCCTCCATTAACTTTACTGCAACCACACTAAAAATCTCTCTTCTGTGCAACGATATACATACATCTTGATGGCATCTTTTCTAAAAATAAAATATCAACTCTACTCAGCTTGAGTTCCTAACTATATCTTTAACCTACTGCTTCTTTTCACACTTTCATGCCAAATTGTACTGCTGCAATATCCTGAATGAAAGCCTGTGGATATACAAAAACAGAACCTCAGCGATATAACAACTAATGAAAGCTGATTTTTTTTCCCCGTGATTTCTTTTAAGAGTGTGTTTTATGACTTATTATCTAAATGACTAAATCTGACTCCCAACTAGCCAGACATCAAACTGAAAAAGCTGTCTTGAAATTCCTTGAAATTGCTGTCCTACAACACATCTACTGCACAGGATGTCAACTGCTTTGCTTGTCAGGAGCCTTGTGAGAAGTAGTTTGCATGTGGATGTTACCTTGAACATGGTAGACAGTATTATAATGCCTTGGAGTTGGGTACTAATTACAAACTGATTCTTGCCTGCTTCCAGACATCTGCTGAGTTTTTTTTCACTGTACTCCTAAGACAGTCAGAGGCCAAAGCTCAGTATGGTCTTAGAAATAATCTCAAGGCTTAAACTTTTTATTTCTCTGCAAAATCTTATCATAGAATCAACTAGGTTGGGAAAGACCTTTAAGATCATCAAATCTGACTGTTACCTCAGGACTGCCTATGGTGCAATAGGTTTGCATAGGACCTCTGTAAGGCAATAGGTTTGCACTACTAGCATTTTCCCTGTTCTAATATGCGCACTTAGTATTGTACCAAGCTACCAGCAGGAGAGCTCTGCTGCAGAGACAGCTGTGCCTCTGCCCTGGCATATCCTTCTCTTGTTCTGTATAGATGGCAGGGTTCTTGCTCTGCCTTGCAAGCCCAGAGAGTACGAGGCAAGTCTTACTTACGTGACTGCATACTGTGCAAATGACAAGTACTCCACCAGAACATCCAGGCCTTTGTTTTCTTCATTCAGGAACTCCCTGACCCATCTGTTAGAAAAATCATCAGACATCAGACCATTTAGTGATCTATGTGAAGTTACTGGAATTCTTGTCATATAAACTAGAGACAGAACCATTGCAGGAAAGGCAGCACTTCTGAGTAGACTTTTGCTTTCTCAATCAGGAGAATAGGGCTTTTTAAAAATGCTCTTTATTATTTAGAAGACTAAAACAGTCCTTTAGAGAACTTTACAAATATACCGAAACAAGCTTTTTTTGCAACACTATGATTGGAAAAATGCCACAAAATAAAAAAAATAAAGAAAAAAACATAACCCCCGTCCTATGCATACTCTGCATTGTTCAGAAACCAGGCATTTCCTCTTCCAAGTACTGAGCTCCAGAACTGGTAAGTGCCTTTCCCATCACAGTCGTGGTGCTGGAAGAGGCCATGGGTGCTGTGAGGAGTTCAGCTGCTACCCACCTTCACTCCAAACCTAGGCTCACCTCCAGCACACACTGCTGTGCAAACCACGAGGCAGTGACTACAGCCACCTTCTAATGCATGAGTCACAGGGACCTGGCTTATTTTTTATCACATTCTTATCTCTAGCAGTCTTTGAAAGCATACAGACAGCACACCAGCAAAAGAGTGACATCTTGGATGTACATTTAACAGTAACTTTGCCTTCTGTTTTTATTTTTTTAAAGGTATTAAACTGTTACTGCAAATTTGGGCTACTAAGAGTTATGCAAAATAATCTGCAATTTGGAAAAGTCTGTTACCTTCCAAAGCTTTCAAAACCTCAAAAACATGATGTAAAGTTTGAACCAGTCCTGAATCAGCTTCTGGTCCCAAGACGCAGAGGTAAGACCAGTGGCAATGCAGATGGGAACGACATGTTTGATAAGGAACTAAGTATCTGGTGATTCCTTTAGTTTTGCTATTTGAGAGGAAGCTATTTGTGGAAGTAAAACCCTGGTAACATTACTCACAGTCAGGCTTCATGAACTGCATCATGTAAAAGCTATAAAACAGCATGGGGGTGTTTTTCATACATGTACTTATAGCTGCAGTACTATTATTTTTTTAGATACATAATGCCCACTCTTGCTCTGACTGACTTAGGAAGAGCAGAAGTTAACTGCAATCATTTTGCAGCCTTCACAGAGATGTGGATGAACCTCATCACGAAAGAATTAGAGTTGAATTATTCTCCTGAGATGCCCAGTTATCCCTTAACTGAGCCATTCGGGCTTTAATAATCAATCAAGTGGTATCACTGCTTCACATGCAAAGAGGTATTTCCTCAAAGACATCCATCAATAGATGTAAAAAAAAAATTTAAAATTCTTAAACCAGATGTCATCAAAAATTCTTACCCGATGTGATTTGTTCTTAAAGAAATTTCCAGTTCTCGGAGTACCTGAGTAGACTCTTGGACTCGTCTTCTGAATTTCTGTAATTGAGCAAGCAGGCAAAAAAAAAACATTTAGATTCATGTGATGCTATTAAAAATATCAACACCTCATGAAGCACAGATTGAATAAATAAAATATTAAGGTAGAGTGAGAACCCCTTTAAATCCTTAAGAATGCAACAGCAACAGTCTGGCAGTCAACTAAAACATGCACCAAAAAAAAAAAAAATTTCCGTTCCCATGCACATTTTTGAGTTTCTAGTATTAAAACAATTAAAAGCCTGTAGATAGACATGTCTTTATAATACAAGCTTATTATTATATATTATATATGTAATATATATTGCCTATTACATATATATAGATACTAAACTGGTACATAGATACTGGTTTACTATTGAACTCTCCATTGAGAACTACAGTGTTTGTGCTTCATTTTCAGTCTGGTGCTTTAATCTTGCTCTCGTGACTTTACACCCACACCATAAAACCTGCCATCCTTTCTGTAAAATTACCAGATCTGTGGGTGTGAGCCAATAATGAAATACACATGTGCTGCCATCTGCATGCTGTAATAATCTGTGCACACTAAATTGTATTTCCAAAAACAGATGCTGGGGAAAGGCCATAAAATGGCAGAAGTAAGACACTGCAGTAGAAAGGAGACAAGGTTTTTTGTCATCTCCATATGGGAGGAGAAAGGGCAACCTAGGAAAACCTCACTGGGGGACAGTGAGAGACTCGCTTCACTCCACATCTCAAAGCAGGCACTGGTCACAGCAGAAGATCTCTAAATGCACACTGACTCATCCTGAGTCAGGTCAAGCAGCTCATCTTCATTGTCTGCAAAACCAGCTTGCAGTAGGGCTGCAGTAGGGCTTTTGGTAAGCAGGCAGAGTGAGCCAGCAATGCATTCTCCTCTCCCAGTCAGAGAAAGACTGTCCCCTTCTCTCTTTCCTTCTGCTTCTTGTCCATGGAAAAGTACTAAAACAGCTGGATAAATTACCCTGGAGCAGTTATTCTGGTAAATTCTCATTTGTGAACAAGGTAAATGAGAGCAGAAGTGGATGGGCAATCGTATCTTAGAACTGCAGTACTTAACAACCAACCTGGTCATCCTTTATCACGCACACAGAGTTGGTGTGTTTGGAAAGACTTTATAAAAGCTTAGGAGGCAAGCAATGCTGCTGTGCAAGTAGGACTGCTCTGAATACAAGGGAAAAAAGGATTTGTTCTCAGTGCAACACAATAAAATCAAGGGTACTACTTTGTCAGTTAATAATTCTCTTGACTTCATTTGCTGAGGTGAATATGATGAAAGGACAGGATTTACCTTGCCTTGCTGACCTATGTGAAAATTATCAGCTGCCTTTTTCACCAGTCTTCTCTCACATGCTAGTTAGCACCACTGGCTTTCTTGAGGCAAGACTAAATCCCACCTTAGAAAGCCACTGGCAGACTGAAAAAGAGGTCTCCCTGTAAAGTCCTAGTAGACAGAAGGTGCTATTAATTTTTACTTTGGAACAGGTCATTGAGAGCAGTAGAGTTTCTCTGGACCTCGGTTAATTATCTCAGTACAAAAACACAGTACCTTGTCTCTCAAGATAGTTTACACAACGTAATTGCAAGCAATATAAAACCTTAGCTCTCTAGAAGTAAAGGTAAAATACTGATGTAGCAAGACACAGGCAGCAGGCTGGGGTTAGAGGGCACAGCAGAAATAAGCAGCACGTTTCCACATGCCCCATGTGGGGCCGCCATTCCCCTAGGGAGGCCAGGCTGCTCCTGGCAACCACGGCAGAGAGCAATGAAAAGGCTCCATGCTTTACAGGACTCCAATAGCCACCAAACTGCAATTCCTTTAAAGATGCATAATTTCAACACTTCCATTTTCCTGTTTCAAAATTCAGCTCAGACAAAAAGCAACTGTTTTCCCAGGAAGAGCCACTATGACCCCAATTACAAGCCAAAAGGTACATTTTTCAGCAGCATTTGGAGCCACCTTCACTTGGCCACACTGCGGATCATCAGCCAAAATGCTGACACCACTTCAATTACAGCAATAATCCTGGTAAGATGAGCTCTCCCCACAATATCACGCATCTGTCCAGAAGCCCATTTGTAAATCTTTCCGCCTCGCAGCGCAGGCTGAGGAAAGGCTGCTGGTGATACAGAATAACAAAACAAAAGAGAGGAACTCAATGGAGTTATTTTTAGGCTCCTTCAGTTTTGTCATTTGTCATGGGACTCTTATAGGGGTATTACGATAAGAAAGGCTCCAATGTGTGCCCATGGAGTAACCACAGAGCAAAGCCAAACACTAAATGAATTTCAAAAACCCTTCAGGAGAAAACACACAAAGACCCCTGTTCACCATTATTTTATTTTTTCTTTAAACTACACTCGGCTACAGGCAAATTTAAGGGTTTCCTACCAAATGGTTTCCTACTCCTTGTCAGAGCCTGCAACAAGAGAAGCACTGTCAGAAGACATTACTGCAGCCCTGAAGACAGGAGCTAGTGACAGCACACTGGAGCACAGGGTGCCCAGTGTTTGCCCCTCGCCTGTTGCAGGGATGGAGGTGCACCTCCACCACAGCTGGAGCTGGCCCCAGCCTGGAAGCTTTGTGTCAAGATACATATTTTACCGCAGGGCACCAACCTCAGTTCATTGTACAGCCACACAAAGCAGCGATTGTGGAGGACAAGGCACAGCCAGTGAATGGCAGGATCTGTTATGCTTGTGCTGCCTTTTCTTGGTTTTGTTTTTTAAAGGCTATTTCAACTATCAACACAGGATATGAGCCGATATCCAAAGTGGTTAAATACCAAAGGTTCAGCAATGGTCCTCTAAATGGGATGTAGGTTTACTGTCATCCTAGAATCCAAGAGGCTATTACTAAGCCCATCAAAGCAGTGCAGAAATATCAGAACCAGCCACAAATACAAGCAGGCACAGAAACTATATTCAGGGATGTACAACATTCACATGAAGTCATTGTATGGCTATGATTATGAAAGGCCAAGTGAAGTTCCCGAGTCTTTCACAACTGATTATCCAACTATTTTGGAAAAACAATACATAGAAGGATGGATGAGACTCTGCCATGTAAATACACCCCAGGTTATACCTTTACTTCACAACCCTGAAACTGCAGATGAGACTGCAAGTGAGAGGGGAGCTGTGCCCGCTGTATTTAACTGCTGTCACGCAAATGTCCAGAGAAAAGGACCCAAAACTTCAACATCCCCTTCACATGGGTGAGAAAAGTGTCATCTGACAGAGGTTTCATCCACTAGCACTGCTCACATGAAAAGTCAGACTTGGAGTACAGCACAGTGATAATTTGTCAGACCATTTATTGAAGCTAAAGTTATTAAAATAAGTTGTTTCATGTGTCAGATGGTCCTTTTCTTTGCAACATCTGTTCTCCTTGCTGAGCTGTGAAAACTGCAGGGTCTTTCCCACTTCTCTCTGCTTCTCTCTGCAGTTTGTTGCATCTCTCAGATTCTTCTGAGACTTTTACTGGGCTTTTTACACAAAGGCAGGAAGGAACCCAGACTCCAGGACCATCCTCGCCAGGGAATGAGGGACAGAATGAGGGATGGGCAAAAGGAAACAGGACACTCCTCACCTTCCTGGTTACAGCTGGATCCAGATAGCCCTTCAACTTCTGGATGTATGTGTGTGGAGGATTCTTCACCTGAAATCTTTCCTGCAGGGGATACAAGAATAAACATCAGCCATTTTAAAACATCTGTATTTACTTACTACATAAGTGAATGCACACACATATATATTTAAAAATACAGCTTTGTAATATCATTTTAGAAGTCCATACCTTATAGAATCATAGCGGCAACCTGGTTGGAAAAGACCTTTAAGATCATCAAGACCAAACGTTACCCCAGGACTGTCAAGCCCACCACTAAACCGTGTCACTAAAGGCAAACTGATCTCCCTCATGGCTGCCCCTCATGATCTCCAGTCACAGCAACCCCTCATTTGCCCCCTTCACAGTGCCCCATACTATATAGCTGCCACCTATACCCCCCATGGCCACCCTTCATCTCCCCTCATTATCTCCCCACGTGGCCACCCCTCACGGCCCATGGCTGCCCCGGCTCTCACCTCATGATCTTCCCTCATGGCGGTCCCTACTCTCCCCTCATGGTTTTCCCTCATGGCTGTCCCTGCTCTCCTCTCATGATCTTCCCTCATGGCTGCCCCTGCTCTCCCCTCAGTATCTCCTTTCACCCCTCATAGCTGTCCCTCCTCTCCCATCATGGCCATCCCTGTTCTCCTCTCATGATCTTCCTTCATGGCCATCCCTGCTCTCCCCTCGCTATCTCCCTTCACCCCTCATGGTCATCCCTGTTCTCCCCTCATGGTCTCCCCTCATGGCTATCCCTGCTCTCCCTCATGATCTTCCCTCATGGACATCCCTGCTCTCCTCTCAGTATCACCCCTCACTCTTCATGGCCATCCCTGTTCTCCTCTCAGTATCACCCCTCACTCCTCATGGCCACCTCCCCTGTCTGCTCAGGATCTCCTCTCGCCCCTCATGGCCACCCCTCCTCCCCCTCATAACAACCTATGTCCCCTTATGTGCCCTGGAGCTAGTGGGAATATTTGTAAGTATACAGTTTATGTATTTGTATGCACACAAACAAAATACATTTACATGTATTTTGATATTCTGATATATATATATTCTTGATATATAAAATATACCTTACATATTCAATGACAATTCTGAATGTTAATTACACATACAAACACACACATCTGAAATAACAGGGTTTCTGCTAGCCAGGAGTACCAAGAAGAAAGACAAAGGTTAGAAGAGCAGATGTGTACCCATGTTTGACTGAAAGCCATGACCACAAAAGCCAGACACCTTTTTTATCACTTGGAACAAGTCTAAAACCACATTGCATGGTCTAGTCTCATTTTATTGTTTGGATTCCAGAAAAACGAATGCAAGAGCAATATGTTAGTAATAAACAAGTAATATTTTAACTCCAGGATATTAAATTGGATTGCCTTTGTAAGGCAATTCTATGAGAATACACCCAATCCCAGCAGCATCCTGCTTCCTATGCCAACACAATGCCTGAGCACCATCATGCTCCTTGTGCCTTGGGATCAGCTCCCTGCACCACGTCTGCCAGCAGCACTAGGATGGAGAGCATGTCAATACTTGAGCTTGTCCCTTCCACCCACAGTTCCCAGGATTTCTTTCCACATCTGTGTCACATGAAGGCCAAGCTGAGGGATCTCCAACGTGGTGGGAAGCAAGCTGGCAAACGCTACTGAGGCCATCAACACACTTACAAGTGAAATTATGGGCGAGATGCCCATCCCTGTCCCACTGGGAAAGCCCAGGAAACACCATGTGTCTCTGCTTAGCTTGGAATCTGATCAACCTCCGGACACAGAGGAAGGTGGGCTGCCTGCAATGGTGGGCTTTACCCAAGTAAAACATCTAATCATGCACGCACACATTCCTGCTTTCTGTCATATGCCAGCAGCATCCCTGATACCCTATCCTTATTTTGCTCACCTGCTGCTATTCCAGTGAAGAAAAATTCCTACCTGCCTTTGAGACTCATTTCTCACTGAAGGTTTCCAAATGCCTAACAGTACAAGGGGACACTTGATCTGCAACCCACCATCAGCCACATTCAAAAGTGAATTAAAGATTTTGATAACAAATACAAGGTCTGCAAATTTTGTATTCTGGGAGCTGCTTGATTTTTGCTTGCTTTACCAGTTGCACAGCCAGCCTGAAATTTATCCTACAAAAACTGCTGTGAAACACGAGTTGTTCTGCAAGGAGTATGCTGTGTCCAAACCTCTTAAGAGCACTACTGAAAGTTCTGATACTATTTGTATCTTGAAGAATTTTAAACTATTCTGCCTTTTTCCCTGAGGAAAGATCTCATAACAATTTCCTCCTGAAATTTTGCATTTTACAACTGATATCTGAAACCTCCCTTTATTAGGTCAGGATGCAATTTTGACTACATTATCTGAAAGTTATTTCATAATGAATAGGACACTGCTGCCCAGTTACCAGAATGTACTGTCAGAACACCAAAAGTCGTTCCTGTTATTATCTTGCTGCTTGTTGTAATAAAAGTAATTCATCATGGTGAGAAGGAAAAAATGAACTAAAAAAAGTCTGACAGTCTGTGGTCCCTCGGCCCCAGGCGAGAGCTCTGTAAGACAGTGCAGACATTTCTTTCCTCTTTTACAACCAGATTTTTTTTCCATGCACCTTCACATATATGGGCCAAACACAGTCCTGGAATTGGCATTTCCTTTTTATCTAAAAAACAGTTCAGAAAACACAAAGTTCCTCATTGCCAGTCCCTTTCACACTCTTGTAGTTCGATTTGCTGCTAACTGGAACTGCTATTGCTGTGTTAAGGAGGACAGAGACACAAGACAGATGCATGGGGTTACAGGCAGGTTTTGGAATGATATGCCAGGGCTCCATCACACAGCTCCACTGGCACAAGCAGAAATCATCTGCCATATCCCAAGAGGTGCACAACAGTCCACTCAAGCATCCAACTCTCACATCCAATAAATGGGAGCAGGCACACCCACAGACGTTGACAGGGGCTTTAAAGGAAACAGAAAAATTAAAACCAAAAAACAGAAGCACATAAAATAAATCAGTCAAAACATGAAGATGTCAATATTCAAAGTACCCCAACTGTTTGCTTAATTTTTGCATTTTTTTACAGGACACTGTTAGACCAGTTTCTCTGTCAGACTTACAGCCCCCTCAGGATACTGTGGCTTTCCAGTGAGCATAAATGTAAGTTATTTAGAAGCAATTTCCACCCATTAACCCATTTTAAAACTTCTTCACACTGGCATACCGACAAAAAAGCACTTTGCAGTAAATGAGAATCTGGCCCACTGCAGACTAGTAAAGAGTCACAGAGGTATCTGGACCTTGGAGACCGCCACTGTTTCTCATTTTGCCGCTCAATAGTTTAGTATCAGCTCCAGAGACATTACAGCATTTGAATAGCCATGTCTTTCTCTACAAAAGAAAGCCCACAAAAGTAGAAGCATTTTCATTGTGCCACTTGACAGCTATGTCCAAATATTATTCTCTGCATTTGCATGTGGTGGAGCTCAATCTGAAAGTCCGCTCTTGAGGAAAAGTAGGCGATGTGAGCAGCAAGCAGCAGGCACAGCAGGAGCCTGCTCCTGACTGCAGTCTCAGACTACCAAGACTCCACATCAGCTCTCATATTTATTCCTCCCCTTTTTGGGGATTTTCTCATGCTGATGTGTAGCTCTGCTGTATTTAGTCTAATCCCCCAGGGAAGCTATTTTGCTCTTATGGGTTTATTTCTCTTACAAACTAATCAGCCATCATCTGCTAAAGCAACAGGAGCTTTTCCTAACTGCAAGTTTTAATATCAGGAGACTTCAAAATTAAATGCTTAAAGAGACTTAACAAGCACATTTAGTAGATTGCGACGCAGATACTATACTGTTTTGTTTGTTTTCTTAAAACCTAGCTGTAATTATGTATTTATGTAATAATCTTTTCAGTGATTTAGGTTACATATAAGGAAGAAGTTCTTTACTGCAAGGGTGGTGAGGCACTGGAACAGGCTGCCCAAGCAAGTTGTGAATGCTCCATCCCTGGCAGTGGTTCAAGGCCAGGATGGACAGGGCTTTGAGCAACCTGGTCTAGTGGAAGGTGTCCCTGCCCATGGCAGGTGGGTTGGAACTGGATGATCTTAAGGTCTTTTTCTAACCTAAACCATTCTAGGATTCTAAGGTTCTTCATATGGTGACTTCATTAAAAAAAAAGATGCTGATCATTACTGGATAGTGGAATTATTTGGGCTGAGGGATTTTAAAGGCATTATCCATGAACACCAGACACCAGAAGTGCTTTTCTCTAACTAGCGACCAACATTCACTTGTGGTAGACATCTACTAGTCCTGGAAATATTTACAGCCTTTAAAGTGTTTTTGCTGCTTTGGAAAGCCATGAGGGATTAGCCTTTAGAACTGCCTTTCCCCAGCTATTATTACTGTCTCAATTTATCCAGCTTTGACTGTTTTATATTAGAGTCTGGTACATCGCAAGCTGCAAGAACCAGGGCTCAGTGCTGTGCAGCGATAGCAGCCTGAAGCTCCCTGACGCCTCTGGGACACTCTGAATGTCTGCTTGCAGCCATCGTCCTCTCAAAAACCTGATGCTCTGCCAGAGCTCACACAGGGTGGGAAGGCACAGGACTCATTGGTCCAGCATGACTGCAGTCTGGTATTTCATTTGCTGTGAATGCTGCAAGTGACTGTGCAGGTTGGCCAGTGTGGGGTCCTCTCAAGGTCCTCTGGTACTTCTTCAGAGCATTTACTTCCCCATAGCTCCTCCCATAGAGACAAACATGATTCTTGGCTAACAATGAGGCACTGCTGTTCACACACAACTCACTTGCCCCGGATACTGTAAACAAGGAGTTAAAAATCATTGTTTTTTCCTGTCTGTTCCTCCTCTCCACTTCCAGCAATTCCCACTCACTCACTGACCAAATCTTCTCTCAAAATAAGAATTTATATGGCATGGGGTTTAACGCTGTTTGAATGTCGAGGCTGGGGATTTTTACTACACACATATAGAATTTAAAATCCGTATCTGAGTCTCCAAAGTTCGCAAGCGTAAGCTGGTGGGTGACATCATGACTGGGACATGGTGGCTTTCTCTCCCAGTCGCCCCAGGACTGGGCTATTCAGACACAACAAAGTTAATAAATCCCGATGAAACCTATTTTATCTCCACTACGTGACTCATATAAGCACCAATGCTATCTACAGCCCTGAAAGGAGAAAGGCACAGACCAGCAGTAACTCAACCCTGCCTTTGTCAGCCACCTAGAAAGCAAATTAACTGACTTCCCAAGGATAAAAGGCTCTCTCTTACTTGAAAAATTGCTGAGGAGCAGTGCCAGAACAATAGCTAAGCGTAGAGAAGTGCATGAAAGGAGCCAGCGGCACTGGACCACAGAGCAGTGAGATGACCTGGTCCTCAAGATCTTCCTTTTTACGAGTATTCAGGTAAAAAGCTTGGATGGGGAACCACAATACCACCCCTGTGCTTCTTTTACCATCAATTGCGAGAATTAGCACTTTATTTCCTTATGGATTTAAAAAAAAAAGGGGGGGAGGGGGGAAGAGGGGGCCTGGAGGGGGCTTTACTTCAGCATCAAAGAGGAACTGCTGGATTTCTACATTTCCTTTTTCATGAGCTCCTACAAATAACACATCTCTTGTTCACCCAAATCCAGAAAATGTATTAATTCTGTAACCAGGAAATTGTGGCTTTTCCAAAGATCTTTTGCTTCCAAAAACATTCAGGACATTTTCTGCATTAGTGACACATGTTGTTGTTATTATTATTACTACCCCCACTAACTTTTTCATTCTTAGGATTCATACATTTTAGGTAAGGACACAGAACATCCGACACGGTATCCCAGCTTGACAGAAATCCCAACAGGCAGGCAGTAACTGCTAGGAGCGCATGAAGCACACGGATGGTGAAGGCTGGTGAAAGGAGGTGGACAAGCAGGGCTGAAGACCAGTGTCTTCTCACACCAGGTCATAAATGCAGTGCAGATTTCTACCACCTGGACCCCACCCCACACAGACCTGGAGAGTAGCTCAGTCCTGGCTCCAGCAATCCAGCCAGCTCACCAGCAGGACAGTATGTAACTTTATAGATGACTTACTACATTATATATGACATGTCTTATTACAGAATGAGATGATAACAGCCGTTTGTCCCTGCACTAAGTAGACCAAGTGGCCATGCTTCAGGCAAAATTACCCCCAACACAGGCAGTCCCTGGAAGCAAAGCTGAGGGGCAGCAGAGGACCCTCACCCAAGAGGCTGCTAGAGAAACCTGCTGCCATCCTGGTAAGCCCTGGAAGCCAGCAGCTGCCTTCACTCAGTTCCACTAGGAAAGGGAGAGAGTTCTACAAATACCTTAGTGATGATATTTTGGATGTAAACCACATGACTTTCATCTTTGGTCTCTTAATTCATTATTCCGCACACACACCTCCAGTGTCTCCAAAGCTGAGGACATGGTGATGCCCCTGCCATAATTTGCCATTAGAGGGCAATGAAGAACTTTATTAAGATGTCCCCAACCTCTTCCCTCAACATCTGTGCCCCCTCTGTATGTCTCATGGCAAGCAACTGGATAGAGGCCTAGACTACACTAAAAGGGTGGCTCACCATGCCAGAAAATGGTATCCTCTTGCCTACCTGGATCCTTCCCAACACTCACCCCCCAGATGACCCTCAGCCTTCTCCAGGATGGGCAACAGGTTTACTGGCTTTGCTCTTCTCCTCATAAGGTAAGCAGGAGACATATGGAGCAAGCTTTCAAGACACCAGCAGCAACATCTAAATGACTTGCAAGGTTTACAGACAAAGGAGTAGAAAATACCCCACAGGATGAGTCCTTCGCAACCAGCCCAGCAACCCTTACAATGATTCACAACATGCACAATCCTACTTACGGCAGATTATTATTCTTATTGCTGTTGTTATTACCATCACCATGAGGCTGGTAGCTCCCCACTTTTGTAAGTCCCACTTCTGCAAAAGTGACAGTTCCTTTTCAGAGTGGAACTCTCTCCCCTAATAGTTTCAAAATATTTCACAGATCAGGGTCTGCTTTACACAGTGTTTAGAAAATATCATTTAAAAGCAACCTCTGGACATGTTTTCCTTTCAGATGTAAGTTGAAAACCAGCCCAGAAGGGTAAGAGTTAATTTTCTCAAGGTGTTACATTAATTAACATCCTCAGCTCTTCATTAAGCAAAACAGGGTAAAATGGTGCAACGGGTGATACCAATAGAAAAATTTGCATCTTCACTAAAAACACTCTGTACAAAATCTATTCCTGGAAGTACTTTTAGCTATGCACCATAATTATGTGGACAGATATAAATATTTCACACCCCATATGCTGTATTATCATAGTTTACAGGCACCTGCTTCACGATGCTCTAATTTACAGCGGCTGGTGAGCACCCATGAGGAATGCCAGAGAGGCTATGGAGCTGTGACAGATCACAGATATACAGCCCTTAACTGCCCAAGAGCCTCCCCTCAGATAGCCAGACCCTGGAAGCATGGCACACGGTCATCTCCCACCCTTTCGGGATGCTCGCAGTGTTGAGCTTCGCACTGCTGGTTACAACAGTCCTGTGCTGCTTCCCTGCCTACCCTCTCCAAGCAACGGCAAGCATACTCATCCCAGCCCGGGGGTGGACTTAGTGTTGTGCAAAGAGCTATTAAGATATGTGATTACTCCAGATTGCAAATTTCCTTCTCTTCATTTCCATTTGCTCATCCCTCCTATCTTGCTCCAGAGTTCAGGAGTGAATCAGCAGCAGCTGCATGCTACAAAGGGTGGGTCAGCTCTGAGGTGGGAGTTTGCACATTGAGGCTGTGATCTAACTGCTTCTGCCTGCACCACTGCCAACTCCAGCACAAAGCTCATGCTTACTTGTACATGCTCTGAGTATGCATGCTCTAAGCAAACATTCATGAAACAAATCACAGTAGATGAAGCAATTTGTTCAGTGTCTCATTAAACTGAAACTTTAAATAGGTCAATGCTTTACACAGAAAACTCATAGAAAAAAAAGCTAGTAACTCTTTATTCAGCTTTACTTTAAGGTAGCTGGATTTTTTCAGAAGCTCCACCACAGGAACAGCTAAATAGGAAATGTCCCAAAAACCCATTATAATGTTCCTGACCTCACAGCATGACTGTACCTTCTGCCAAACTCTCATCCTGGTACCACTGTGTTTACATTTCAAGGAAACATCCTACTTTCATAGTCTTGGATCAATTATTTTCATTAGTGATTACTTTTGAAGTTTATGGGAGAACCTTATTTTGCTACTGGCTCACAAATGCAGCTCCTACCTTTAGTATGCTTCACTTTCTCTAAATAATGTTTCTCCTCATTTGCCATGTCAGAGCTAACCTGTTAATTGTTCTATACTGCTGCCAAGTGTGCATGCCACAGCAGAGCTCATACACAGAAGATCCCTCAGCATCTGTGGCTGCTTAATCCCAGGTTGTTGTTCAGCCTCTAAGGCAAAGAGGAGTACATCACCGTTCACCTCTCTCTGAAGGCAACAGCCACTACCACCTGTGGCTCATGGCCTGAAAAGCCAAATACTCACTGGATAGAGACCCTTCATTCATTCATGTTTCACAGGTCAAGACAGACTAAACTCAAAGCCCTCTCTGAGAGGTCAGTCTTTCTGAGTCTGTGCCAGGCAAAATACTCAACATTCATCACTCAAGAGGAAACAGGCACAGGGGTGATGGCATCACGAGAGGGGAAAGAGATACTGCTCTGCTGCAAAATAATGAATTCTTATTGCAAGACTTCTATGAGTTGTTTCCAATAATGGAGCATAAGGCCAAAGAAATGAGTGTTTGAAACTATTGAAATACTTGTCCTCTCTAAGGTCCCTTTTCTAAGCCCAGGGATGCCACTGATGAAACCCAGTTGGTGCTCTCGATGAGATGTGCCAAAAGCCCTCCAGACCTCCCTTACCTGGTCACAGATCAGCTCCCACTTCTTCTCATTGTCATACTGCCGCAGAAGCCGGGCTTTGTCAGGCGGCAAGTTCATCGCATTCTGTGGAGAAAGAGAAAGCAAACGTGAGGGACCGCAGAGGGCTCAGGCTCCAGTGGAGTCAGACATGAGCAAACCAAGGCAACGTGGCTGCGGTTGCTTTAGTTGTTTTATGTGGATTCCTGTTGAGAGGGTTATTCAGAAACATTCCCTCTAAATGTCGTATTTGGCCCCAAAAGCGCCAGTGAATCACAAGGCAGCAACAGACAAAGCTTGGTGCTGGGACACAGGAGGAAGGGAGTGACTGGAGCTCTTGACCAGCCACCTCCATCAGAGGAAAGGACGGGGCTTCCTTCTGTTGCCATGGCACAGGAGCCACCTTCCAGCCCAGATGGGTCCCTGTGGCACAACACATCCCCTCTTCCCTTTGCCAGCCCTGGCCTGAGGTTTTTCATAAGGGAAACATAAACTCCAGCTGCAGGCTGGGGACTGCAGAAGGCCAGTTCTCTCCAAACAAGATCTTGAAATGCAATTTCATTTTATTTCAACAGTGGGATGCTATTCAGGTTTTTAAATGTCACTGCATGCAGTCTTATCTGAATAATACAGATCCCAGTGGTAAGACTGCTGCTGCCCATCCTGACGTTGTGCTACTCGCATAAGCAAAGATAACAATCATAACAATCCTGAGACTGAATGACAACCTGCAGTAACGAGTCAGAAGGCATGGGAGAGGCAGCAATTAAATGATGCCTATCATTTGGTGGCTCCTTTGATGTCAGTTGAGATACCTCTCTATGGGCAGTTGTCTGGGGTAGGGCAGCACAGGCTGGCTACTCACTCCCAAGGCAGTTTTCCTAAGAGCCGTATCTCTAAATGTGCAGCATAACTGTCATGCTTATGCTGCTGGAGAATCCAGGAACGCCTTGAGAGCTTTGCAAACACCAGGTGCGGAGCGCCTCCCTGTCAGCACAGCAAGGTGAAGCGGCTGAATGAAAACCAGCCAAGCACCTTTTCATTTCCAGCACTTGCTGGTCTCCAGCTTGGATTCCCAGACCAGCCAGTTATCCCCTGTTAAGCCTCAGGACCACAGTCTCTGGTGGTCCATCTGGACTGCTGCAGGGACAGGAGCGAAGTGTCGGTCAGTTCCTGCAGCACACCAGAGGCAGGCAGGCCAGCGATGTGCCCATCTCCAGTACCAGCAGGCGCTACCCTTCTGCATTTAATTTTTAAAAGGCTGTGGGAGGCATAAAAAGAGGCGAGAACCAAAGACTGTTAAATAAGCCTGTAATGAAGCAGTAATCAATACACTGGCAGTTAGGTACTGAAACACTCTGTTCTAAAAGCGTACATCTTCACAAGCTGTGCAATAGGAAGATTTACAGATTTATTAAAAGCAGGCTGTCCTGGAAGTCTTCAGAAACACTCCCAGACACCAACAAGGGCATCTGTTATGATCAGCCCAGCCTGCTGACACCCCCCCCCCCCCGCCTACCCTGAATGGCACACCATAAAATCAAAATTCACTTAAGTCCCCAGACAGGGACTTCAGGAGCCAAGGGCAATCCCTGTCCTGCTGGGACAGTGTGCACAGTGCTGACCACACTGACAGGCACTGCACCAACCAGGTGAGCTTTGGCGGATGAGGTGCTTTGAAGGAAAGCCAAGAGGTTCACTGGTAGCAGCTGGCCATCAATGGCAAAGCTTTCCAACAGTTTCTGGGTGACTGAGCACTATATGTCCCCACTGCAAAGATAAGGATTTCCCTGCTCTTATTGCAGGGGTAGCATATGATGCAGGACTACCTTGCCCTGCAGCTCCCGCAGGGCTTACACATCCCAGCTGCCCTGCTAACTCACAGGCCAGCCTGTCAGTCTGCTCCCAACCCAGCTCAGCCCTGGTGGGGGGCAGACCCATGGGCCAGGGCTGCTCCCTCCCAGTTTCAAATTTCCTTCTCCCTGAGCTTAATTGTGCAGCCTGAGCTGAAAACAGGGGGGCTTGGGCATGACGCAGGAGCAGATGTGGCACTCCTGCTGGCAGGCAGAGGAGTGGAGGCTGCTGCAGCCATCTGTGTTCCCCCTGCATGAGGCTGCATGTAGTGTTCCCCCTCATCCGAGGGCAATCCCAGGCTCCCTGGCATGATGTAACCACCGTTATTTCCTCCACTGCTGCACCCCACCAGCACACTCCCTAAAAGCACGGGAGCACAGGCAGGAACAGTGACACATGCACCAAACACTGTCCTTCCAAACCTTCAGTGGGACAGCAAATGCCTCTTCTTTGCCGGGAATACTGCAGACCCTTGAGGGCCTCCCTCTGGTGCACTTGTACCTCCTGGTCCACACAGAACCATCGAGGCAGGCAAGGACAGCATGGGTCTCCAATCCACCTGTCTGCATGTCACAGTTGTATTTGCTATTGTCCCACAAGACCTTATCTCCATCCATCCTGGCTGATTAGTGTCACCCACTCCTGGGGATCCCCTCCACCAGCCTGCTGCTGTGATGACTGCTCTTCCTAAAGCTTGTTTTCCATCAGATAACAAATACTCTTCCTTTTGCTCATCTGTGCTGTCATGTTGACAGTATTTATAGGCTGTGATCATATCTGCACTTGATTCTCCTCTCAGTCTCTCACCATGTAACTTATCAGTTCTACTTATCAATTTAATGCACTACCTGGTATTTTTCCTGGGGCTTCTTCAAGCACCATTCCTTACCTCTGAGGACGCAACATATTTCATTGCTATGCTAAATCTCAGCTGTAGGAAAAGCGTCACTGTTTACCTGCAATACACCCCTTGTCAAACTCTGATCTTCTTATAGCTCATCAGCTTACCCAATCAGGCTGGCACTCAGACCAGAAACCTGCCTGGAAACCTTTGCAGGATTCAGTCATGGCAGAAGTTCAGTGCAGATGAAAGCCTGAAACAGGGAAAACAAGACCCAGGCAGCAGGCTCCAGTGATCTCATTTCAAACTGAATTATATCAGATCTCATTCTGAAATGTGAACTCCTTTGCTCCGCATCATTGTGCTGCACACAACCATTCAATGTATTTCAACAAATACTGCAGTTCACTTCAGATACCCCCTACCTTGGTCTGACAAGCAAAATTATTTATGAATACATTGTGTGCAACCAGGTTCAATCCCCTGTGTGTAAGCACTGGATGATTTACACCTACTCACCTCTCAATAAGAGATTTAAAGCAGTTTTAAAACCTGTGTGTGTGCAAGTCCATTACCGTCCTCTAGACAGGACCCTCCACTGTGGCAAGCAACGGCAAGTCACCCTGAAGTCCTTCTAGCTTCTTCCTTCATGTCTTCTGTAGGAAACTGGGAAGGAAACTACTACTTCTGCTGTCTGCATCCCCTCTGGCCTCATCACTCATGTGGTAAGGAGGGAATGCACTTGGACTAGGAGGGAATGCACTTGGACCAGGGCTTTTCATGCTGGCAGAGTCAGTTTGACATTAACTTTTATGTCTTATACATAAATCAGTTTGAATGGCCTTCTTAGCAACTGCCATCAGATTGCAATCACTTACTGGAAACCGTTGCAAGACATTCTCACTCACAATTTGAGGCTATAACCTGAGGCTCCCTGCTTGTTGCGCAGGCTTATTTCTGCACCACACATGCCCTTTTCCCCATCCAAGACACCTGGTGAATTGGATCTGTTGCTCCCCTGGAGCTCCCCATCCTTTAGCCTGTCTCTCCTGCAGCCTCCAGGCTGATGCCCCAGCACACATGACCCCACTCAACATCCACCTTCATCGAGGCCATCAGCCTTGATGAATGAACCAAATAAACCTCGTTTTGTTGTATAAAATAATGCAGGTGTAGATCGTACCTTCTCTAAATGCTGGACTAATGGCAGTCTTCATGTCTTCCTGTTAACAACTGCTCCCTGCTGGAAAACTACTTTCTAAACCATGGCATTTTTACTTAATTGGGAAACAATATATTTTCCTTATGTCTATGCACGGCACTGTACCAATTGGCTTTCTGAAATCAAAGTATACTACATCTAATTGCATAACCTTTAGCTGTTGCATCAGTAACTATGGCAAAGAAGGCTACTGAATTTGCTGGCTTAACCTCACCAATTGCAATAGTTTTGACTCTAGTCATAACTAACCAGATGCATTAGCAGTCTGGATTTCTTGTTCTCTGTGGATCAGTGAAATGACTCACAAACATCTCCTGGCCACTTCCAGCTCTTATGACTATGGGCTTCACACATACCAGCATTTTTTAGTTAACTACAGGTCTATGACCTGCGAGCTCTCTTTCCTTCGTCACCCTAATTAAGAGTTCATGCTTTGAAGGCTTTCGATAGCATAACTATTCCACTCCTGATACAACTTAAACCCTTCCTGTTGCCAGAAGGAGTGGCACTCTACTCCCTTCCCTGTGTCCCCAGCCAGACTGTCCCTTACCTCCCCCCCCCCATATCACCACCAGCACTGATGCATGCAGGCCCTTTGCCAGAAGCGCAGACTTTGACCAGCTCAGGAAGAACTGTACTTTAATACTAGCTACCCATCTTCCATTAGGATCCCATCGCGGGCCATAGAAGATCATTTCTTTTAGTGGCAACAGCAGTTAAAGCAGCCCCACTGCCTTGTACTCCACTGCTCTGCATCCCCATCCCCAGATGGGCCTGCACACACACCTGCATGTGTTATACTAAACATGACCTAGATTAAAAATAACCATTTGTGGTCAAGCTCTTCTTAATTCAAGTCAGTGCCATAAGTCCAACAAATTTCGCTGTGATACAAACTGAGAGGCTGCCAGGGCCGTGCCACAGCTCTGTGCTGGACCCCATAGCAGCTGTGGTACCACCTTCCTGTGTTTGGGTTTTTGCCCCTTACACCCTGTCATTGCCCCAGGTCACACAGCCCAGCGCAAAACACTGGCACCCACCAGCCCTGCCTGAGCATCTGTGCCAAGGTGAGCTCTGCAGCTTTGCTCCACTCCTTGCTCCCACAGAGTCACAGCCTTAGGAAATGACTCCCACCTTCCTCGCCATACTGCAAGTTTCCATTACATCACA